AGGGGGTTGACTACTTTCAGACCTTCTCCCCCACCCCGAAGATGACCACTCTTCGGGTTCTGCTACACGTTGCTGCTCACCGTGACTACGAGCTGCACTCTCTCGACTTCAGCACAGCTTTCTTGCAGGGCAGCCTACACGAGGAGATCTGGCTGCGTCGCCCACCTGGCTTCACTGGGTCTTTCCCTCCTGGTACCCAGTGGAGTCTCCGGCGTCCAGTCTACGGTCTCCGCCAGGCGCCACGTGAGTGGCACGACACACTGAGGACTACGCTGGCCGCACTTGGGTTTGCTCCTTCCACTGCCGACCCGTCGCTGTTTCTGCGCACCGACACCTCTCTGCCGCCGTTCTACATCCTCGTGTACGTCGACGACTTGGTCTTTGCCACAGCTGACACTGCTGGACTCGCCTACGTGAAGTCCGAGCTGCAGAAGAGACACACGTGCACTGACCTGGGTGAACTGCGCAGCTACCTTGGCTTGCAGATCACCCGGGACAGAGCACGCCGCACCATTACCCTGACTCAGTCACACATGGTGCAGCAGGTCCTTCAGCGCTTCGGCTTCACGTACTCCTCGCCTCAGGCCACTCCTCTGCCTACTCGCCACTCGCTCTCAGCTCTGCCTTCGGATGAGTCCGTAGAGTCGAGTGGCCCGTTTGCAGAGCTTGTTGGCTGCCTCATGTACCTGATGACCTGCACACGACCTGACCTCGCATACCCTCTTAGCATTCTCGCACGCTATGTTGCTCCTGGGAGACACCGACCAGAGCACATGGCTGCAGCGAAGAGGGTGTTGCGCTACTTGTGCAGTACGTCGGGCATGGGGCTAGTGCTTGGAGGGCGCAGTCCAGTGGTCCTCACTGGGCACGCAGACGCTTCTTGGGCTGACGACCAGGCTACGCAGCGGTCGTCACAGGGTTACACCTTCAGCCTTGGTTCCGGCTCTGTCTCGTGGCGGGCTACCCGCTCGTCTTCTGTTCTCGGCTCCAGTTGTGAGGCTGAGATCTACGCTGGGGCTATGGCTGCACAGGAGTTACGCTGGCTCACCTACCTGCTGACCGACCTTGGAGAGCAGCCTCGTTCTCCTCCAGTCCTGTACGTAGACAACAAGGCCATGCTGGCCTTGTGTCGAGAGCAGCGACTGGAGCACAGAACGAAGCACATTGCTCTTCGTTACTTTCTTGCTCGTGAGCTACAGCAGCGTGGACAGCTGCGACTTGCGTACGTGGCCTCTGAGGCCAACACTGCTGATGTCTTCACCAAGGCACTTGCGCCTTGTGATCATCAGCGTTGCTGCACGCAGTTGGGTCTTGTGCCTGTCTTGCCTCACTTGCTCTCCTCTTGACCTTGCTTGTACTTTCGCATATATATACTCTTGTTTTTTGTATATCTCTATATATGATCTTGCATGTGAACTGGCCTTGTGGCCTTTGAACTTGTGCTCGGAATGCGTGGTGACTTTGTGATCCACCCTGAGCTTTGCTTTGCTTTGCTTGACTGGTCTTGTGACCCCTTGTTCTCCCCCACTTTGCCTATGGGGGTGTGTCAGAACTTATAGCTTACTTGTTTCTGTAGGCTATAGTGGGGTATCCCATAGGGGGTACAACCCAATTAGGGTTTCCTATTTGTACTCACTTCGTTCATAGTCATTTCATTCTCGTTCTTTGTTTCCACAGCTACCCCATGAGCAACGACTTAGGCACGTCGACGAGATCGGCCACTACATCCGCGACAACAAGAAAGAGGATTGGTGCAACGAGAAAGTGGTCCGCCGACAGTACATCTGGCTGCACGGCCCTAGGGTCACCGAAACCCGGCTGCGCGCCTACGTGAAGCAAATGAGCCGTGAGTGTAACCTCATTGTTGACCAGCCCGGGGAGGAGAACAATGCCACGCGAACGGGGCCTGTGAGGTCGACAACTGTGCACACGATCCTCGGCCGGATAAAGGCATGCCAGATGGCGGCGAGGGTGGAGGCGACGCTGTACCGAGAGAAGGAGCTGGGCCTCATGAGGGAGATCTCGGTGGTGAGATCGGAGGTGCGGTTCAACGTCCGCCACAAGAACGAGAGGGACCTCAAGTAAGTTGGTCGACAACCTTATTATATATCACTGTGCACTGTGAAGTCGACGCAGTCTAACAGATTTTCCCCGCCGATTTGCGTTCAGGAACTGCGCCGACCGTCGACGCGGCACCATCGGCGATACCTACACCGCCGAGCAGTTCCGCCAGATCATGATGAGGGTGCTGCCGACATGGGCGGCGGCGGCGTGGAACCCGCGGGCTACCACTCCGTCGCAGACGCTGTGGCGATTCCTGCTCATCAAGGTGCTCACGCTACTCTCCCACCACACTCTCCTGCGCGGCGGCAGCATCCGCGAGATCACGCTCCCCGACATCTTCTTGTACCACCTGGCGAGCACCTCGGAGGTGAACCCGGATAGCCAGCCGGTCGTCATGGTGATCGCCGCGCGTAACTCGAAGACTTCCAAGGATGCCCGTCTTCAGCAGAGCTACGCTGCGCGACACCTGGAAGCGGAGCTGTGCGCCGTCGGCGAGACCGGCCTGTGGCTGCACTTCATCCTCGACCAGATCGGTCAGTTCTCCGGCACCGACTTTCTTTCGCCGCTTGACATCACAGAACGCGAACGCTGGTACAAGAAGCATCTCTTCTTCGCCAGAAACGACAAGGAGCAGGAGGAGCTCTCCTCCGCCACCCACCAACGTTGGACTCGGCAGGTGTGGACGACCAACAAGGTGTTCTGCAAAAGGAACGTGCACGCCGCCCGCGCCGGAGGTGCGCAGGAGTTAGCCATCGGAGGGACGCCGCGCGCCCAGATCGCCGAGCTGGGACACTGGGCTCTCGACAAGATGACGCGTGCGTACATCACGGCCATTCCCGTTGGGGTGGTGATGCAGAAGGCCGGCTACTCGGGACTCAAGCAAGACTACTTCTTGGGGCGCAGCAGGGTCGAGCCCTCCGACAAACTCCTGGACCTGCTCGCCGAGCACATCTTCCCCGGCGTGGATGCTATGCTGCGCGATGTATGTCACGCGACGCCGACAATGTATTTCAGTCGTCGTGGCCTAGTTGGCTGCCCAACTCCCTACTAACCCACGCCACTTTCCGACTTGCAGGCGGAGACGCGTGCCGTCAACGGGAGCGACGCCGCTGCAGCCGCAGTGCACTTCTTGCGCACCCTCGTGATGTTCCGACGAATCGTCGCCGAGGACCTCGCGGTGAAGCTCGTCCGCACACCGTGGCACCCGTACGTCCAAGGTTCCAAGCTCTGCAGGATTGCCCTCTTCCAGCACTGGGCGAAAAGGGTCGAGTCGGTCGACACCGATACGATCAAAAAGCGCCGGGACCCGACTCAGATACAACCGGAGGTGAGTTGCCGACCATGTCGGCGTTGTTGGATTTTAGCCGGTGAATTCTAACCTCTTGTCGCCTTTCCGCACACCCAACATTGCAGGAAATATCCGTGCGCATGGACACCCAGTATCACAACATGTCCCTCAAGGAGGCGCTGAAGAAGGAGGTCGAGCGCTCGGCGCTCGAGAAGCTAGGCTTTCAGGAGACGATCGAGAAGCAAAACGACACCATCGCGTCGCTCACCGCCGAGCTTGCTCGACTCACTGAGGCACTCCGTGTGTCAGAAGCCCGGAGGATGCCGGCGGCGCCGACGTCGGCTACCGATCAAACTCCGGGCGAAGGTGGCTCCGCGGATTCGGCCAACACGGGGACCGGAGCCAAGAGAGATGATGGGAAACCCCCGCCACCCCCCCAGACGGCAGAGGAGGCCAGTTACGAGCTCAACGTCGTGCAACCTTGGCGGGATTCAAAGACCGTGCGGGACGCTTGGCGCCTCTGGAACTCCGCCACCGCCAATGACACCCGTCGTCTTTGCGACAGGGTCGCCGAGCCGGGGTTCATCGACCGCCACACCCTCCTCAAAGGCGCGACCCAGGGTGCACTCAACATGAGGGTGCGCCGCATGCTGAAGGCCATGGATGCGGTGCGCCAGCTACGCGCGAGCGACGGCGATGCCGACACCGAAGCCGTGGTCGATGCACTGAACACGATCGCGGCACCGGGCATTGGTACCTTCTGCGATGCCCTCACGGTGCTCAACCCGGTGACGGCACCGACGATGTCCAAGGAGCCTGGCATGGGCGTCAAGGGGCTTGGCCCCAAGGTGGTCTCGAAGCTACGCCTCGCCTGTGCGCTGGTGGCGCTCGAGCTGAAGCCGACGACGTGGGTCGACCGCCTGTTTCCAGACACCTGGGAGGAGCAGATGCCGAAGACCGTGGCCGACTTGGCCAAGCAGACCGCACCTGCGCAGCGTCCTCCGTCAAAGCGCAAGAAGTCGGCATGAAGATCCTCGGTGTATATGTGTTAGCGTAGGTTGATGATACGTTAATTTAGCAAACCGTTGTGTTCCCATCGTACTTGTTCATTTTGATGCAACACGAACATACAAGATCCAACACATACATCCGAACCAGATATGTCGGACTCCGACATAGTCGCCACCATGTGTGTGCAATTCATTGTGCCTTATTCATGTCGACATCGCTGACTGCATGCAAACGGCGCAAACGGCGCCCATCACGCTATAACCGAGCAATCATACCACCTAGCGCTCCTTCCGCGCGCCGACTACGCATCCGTGCTGTCCATGCCCGCTCGATATGCGCGTCAAACGGCACATCGATGCCGACCTCCTAGAGTTTCGGCCACCTGGGCGGCGCGGCACATTCCCCAAAGCGCCGACCATAGACCATCTCGGCCTAGCCGACGATGCTCATCGCCGAGTATATACATGCATACAGCCAGACGCACTATGTCGACACCGTACGACGGGGTTCATCGAACCGGGGCCCGCATTTGAGTAACATGGTAGATATCAGGTCGACCTTGCCGAGGAGTGTTCTAGTAACATGCATTACCAAAAAGTTACAGCCAACAAAAGAAATCCCAACGAAAACTATACAATCAAACGGAAAAAAAATCCCAAAAAAACCACATAATCGACGCCGCCCATACCAGGCCATCCTTGCAAGAAGACCTACTTGCGCTCCCTCCGGCCGCCCATGGCAGATTGTTATGCCGACTACGCCGCCGTGTGTCCTTGCCCGCTCTGCCCTTCCCCTTCTTCCCCGAGCTGTCCTTGCCCTGCTTGCCCCTCGGCCTCTTCCTCCCCCTGTGCTCGATGTCGTACTCCATCTGCGCATCCAGCGGCACCGCGATGCCGATCTTCCTGAGTTTCGGCCCATCCACGGGGCACATCCCCCAGAACGCGAGGGTTTCCACTGTCGCTCGTGCGATCAGTTTGGCCTCGGGTTCAACATCCAACCCCGGATAGGCTCTGGCCAGAGCGGTGGACTCAAGCGCCGGTGCGACGTTGTGCGCAACCTCCCCAAGGGGTTGCTGCCTGCTGATCGCCACCTCCAGCACCGCCGACATGACGTTCTTGAACTCGGCGGCGGTAGCCTCGCTGGCGCCGACCAACATCGCCGCCGCCTTCCCTTCGCGGACGGCATCAGCCACCTGGGCGCCGTCGCCCTCGACTAAGCACCACAGTGCGCAAGCTGAGGCCGACAGCGCCTGTGCGACCTTCGCCGTCTTCTGATCCGTGTCGCCCTCCATTCTCGCCGCGGATGCAGCGACCTCCCCATACGCCGCGCACAAGGACACGCGATCAAGCATGGCCGACATCATTGCATCCGACTTCCCGTCGGCATCGACGGGGAACCAGATCGCGGGCAAAAGCGCGTCGTGGTGCGCATCGCCTGATGTCTTGTACGCTCTATACTTCCCGAGGATGTCGTCGAACCTGTCACGCAATCACACGAAACTGGCCGTTAGGAACGCCGACGTCGACATCATAGCTTGGCCGACGTTTATCCGACTTACCGTGTCCTTGGGAGGAACGCGCCCCTTGCCCAGATCACCGTCCACATCCCAGTCGGCAAGAACCGGACTTCCTTCCACACCGCCCTCCACTGCTTCATCACTGTTTCCTCCAGGCCGGTGAGCTCGGCCATGAGGATCTTGCTGACGAAACCGTCGTACAGGAGGTACACAATGGAGTGAAGGTACGCCAGCTCCATCTTGTCGCGGGACTTGCCGATGTATCTGCTCTCGTTCCCGACCACCTTGATCTCGCCCACCCACCCTTGCTTGTCGCCCGTCGAGTCGTGGCGGATGCCATGACCCTTCCGTTCTTTCACCTTCACCTTCTCCTCCTCCGTCGCCGCCTCCTCCTCCTCCAGCTTCTTCTCCTCCGCCTCCTCCACCTTCTCCTCCTCCTCCTCCTCCTTCTCCTTCTCCTTCTCCTCCTCCTCCTCCTTCTCCTTCTCCTCCGTCTCCTTCTCCTTCTCCTTCTCCTTCTCCTTCTCCTTCTCCTTCTTCTCCTCCTCCTCCTTCTCCTCCTCCTTCTTCTCCTTCTCCACCATCGCCGTCGCCATCCCCTGTCCTTTCTGCACCGACTTCACCATCGCCGACGTCGCCCGTGTTTTCTTCTTCGAGCTCGGCCTCGCTTTCCCTGCGTCGACCGTCCCCTTCCGTTTCGACTTTCCCGCGCCGACCGCAGCAGTGGTCGTCTTTGGCTCCGCTGTACAGCCGGTGGGACTCGCCGAGTCCAAGATGGCCAGCACAGGGGGCTGCTTGGGGCGGTTTACCGCTTCCAACAGGTCCTGGATGGCAGCGATATCGGCGTCGTTGTGGTCCTTCGCCGCCTGTGCAGGGTCAACTGATCTGCCGCCCGTGGCTAGCGCTGCACTCACGCCCTTCTCCGCCACCGCCTCGATAGTAGCCGCACCGAGTGTGTGCAGCTACGGTCACCGACGTCGGCGTCGCGCATGAGCTGGATACCGGCTGAGCCCGTGCCGGCGCAGCCGCAGTACGTACGCCTAACTGGGCGCGAAGCAACGCGGACTTTGGGTCCACAGGAGGACGGGCGGCGATGATAGGCGCGGTAGGTGGGGCACTGGACGTTGTGGCGGCGACCTGGGGAGTGACCGAGCGACGTGCTGTTGTGGCCGGCGCGGTGCCGACCACGGGAGGCTGCTGCACGTCCTGTCGATGGGTCTCCATGCGGCTGAGCATCTCCCTGAGCGCGTTCGCCTTTGGGGCGGACGGACCAGCGCGGTTAGCCGCAGCATCCACCGCGTCAACCTTGGCGGCAGACGTGCCTGCTGGTGCTGGAGTAGCCGCAAGGGACGGCCCATCATTGTTGGCGGCTGACGGGGCGACCGGCGCGCTGCTAGCCGCAGGGGGTTTGCGGGGGATCGACGTGGTCCCCGCCACTCCGACGGACGGTCCTTTGACGGTTTTGGCGCCGCCATCTATCGCCGTTGGTGCGGTCGCTAGACTGGCCGGCTTCTCGGCGACCAATGGCGGGGCTGTTGGTCCAGCCTCTTGAGCGGCAACCTGGTCGGCAGGGCCCCCCTCCGCACTCCTGATTCCATCGCCCTTGCTGTGCGTCCTTATCACCTTGGCCCCGTTCTTCTTCAGCTGGTCGACCACGCTCGTACCTCCGCTCCCATCGGCTCCCTTGCTCCGCGAGCCGCCTGGAGCCACCTGGCCGACGCCGCGGCTCCCATCGGCTCCCTTGCTCCGCTTCGAGCTCAACGCATCATCTCCGCCGCCCGCCCTTTTCGCACCCTTCTTGTCGGCCTCGTTGTCCGACGGCGACGACCCATGCCGACCAGGCGCCAGATGGCCGATCACCTGGGTCATGAGGTTTAACCCGGACGCAGCAAACGACTGCTGGGTGGCCTCAGTCACCGCCTTCAACACGTCCGCCTTGAAAGACTTCATGAGCTCGTCCGGGAAGGCTGGCGGTGGGGCGGGCTGCGTGGGCGGCGGGACGGCGACGCGTTGAGTTACGGCGGCGGCGATGTTGGTCTGCGCGGCGACTAGGTGCTTCGATATGTATTCCTCCAATCCCTTCCTCGCTTCGTCCACGTGGTTGCCCAGGGCGACGACCGCGTTCGCACGTTGCACCGCCATAACCCCCTCCGGATTCTCTAGATCGTCCAACCAGCTCTCCGCCCTCTCGGCGTACGCCTTCATCGCCTCCCATGCTTCACCCATGTTGGCAGTGATGTTCTCCGTCACGGTCGTCGCCATGGTCAAGGACGCGTCCATCAGCCGACTCGACGCGTCCTGGTCGGAGGCGGCGACCTGGTCGGCCAACGACCTGAGCTTGTCCACGAGGTGGCCAATCCCCATCGCGAACCTGTCCACCCGACCCCTCTCCACTCCGAGCGCCGTCTCGAGACGAGCATTTTCAGCCCTCAGCCACATGTTCTCCTGTCGCAGCTGCGCGACGACGACCGGCGTTGCCTGCCGACCAGCTGCTGAGGAACCCGGTTGACGGCCCGCCTCTACCGCTCCACCCCGGCGTTCCACCCCTGCGTTCCCTGTGGTGGTCTCCACGCCCGTCGGCGTCGGGGACGCGACGTTATCCTCCTCCTTCGCGTCGCCAACCACATTGCCGACCACGTGCGCCTCCTCCACGCCGACATTCTCCACATCGGCACCCTCCCCTCGCACGTACACAACATCCGCCGACATCCCGCCCGTTCCCTCCACGGCCGCCGCCGCTCCCTCCACGGCCACCGCCGCCGCTCCCTCAACATCCTCCATCTCGAATTCGACCCAGGGGAACTCTACCTCCTCCTCCCCCTCTTGCTGCTTCTCCCCCTCCGCCACCTGCTCCACCGACCCGAAACCCTGCTCCACGGCCTCCGCCGCCGCCGCCTCCTTGTCCTCCTCCTCCTCCTCATCATCCTCCTCCTCCTCCTCCTCGTCCTCCTCCTCCTCCTCCTCCTCCTCCTCCTCCTCCTCCTCCTCCTCCTCCTCCTCCTCCTCCTGCCCATGCCCCTGCTCACGCTCCTCACGATCCTCCTCGTTATCATCCTGATCGTCGGTGTCATCCTCCTCCTCCTCCTTTTCCTGATCCGCGGTCCTCGCCACAGCCCTCTCTGCCTCCTCATCTGCCTTGTCGACGCCGTCTCCGGCCTCTCCGCTTGTGTCGGCGACACCGACTGCTTGGGATGCCGAAGGGGGCTCCGCGGCGTCGTCTTCACAGGCATCGGCACCAACTCCGACATGGCCTGACCGTCTGCGTGCGACGTGTTCCTTGATGTATGTCATCATCCGAATCCGCAGCTCCTTCAACCCCGAAACGAGGACCTTGTCCATGCTGGTCGCACTGCGACGGTCGTCGCCGGTCAGGCGATCCATCCTCTTCACCACCCAGCACAGCGCGCTCATTGAGAGGAGGCCAGAGCCTGCGTCGCCGTCCCGGACGGTGTCGCGCATTTTCTGCAAACAACAGAGGAGAGAGCAAGGATGAGCACCGACGGCGGCGATGGCATCGCGCTAGGACGGTAAAACGATCGGTACTCACATCTCGAACGGGTTCATTGAAGTCGGCGAGCCTGGCCGCCACCTCTTCAGCAGAAGGCTTCGGCCACTCCCAGTGCCGGCCATCGCGGCCGAGCTCGGCCAGCACCGCCGCCCGGAAAAACCTGAAGCAACATGGCACAGGTCGTCAGTAGACTTGCTTAACGCCCAGCGGCGAAATTGCATGCGTCGTCGACTACACTATCGAGCTCACTTCAGCACGCGGATCGCCTCGTCGCGGTGCCACTGCTTCACGGTTTGCGGGTCGAAGTGCCGGACAGAGGTCCTGATCGTCTCTCCCCCGGCCCGCAACAAGTCGCCGGGGTACAGGATGACCACGACGCTGCAATGTGCCCCTGGAAGCGGTGCGATGCTGCACAGGCTAGGCACCACGACGTCGATCAGAACGGAGCAGCGACATAAGGCATCAAGGCACACCATCATGACTTAGGCTCACCTCGAATGCAGAGGGATAACAGCTACGTCGGCGTCGAACACCGTTGCAAAGCATGAGTGGTCTTCCTTGCCCATCGCCGCCCGAAGCCGGCCGAGTCCTATCGACCACAATCGCATGTTGGCCGGCGCCGCGCGAATCCATGCGTACCTGCACGCATGCATGGGTAGTAGATGTGTTTGAGGACGTGCACGGCACGACGGATGGACACGTGGGTTCTGGAACCGACAACTGACGGGGATGGCTAGAGTAGAACGGTGCACCACCGTCGCTACGTTGTAATCAATGGCGCCTACCGATGCGGGCACCGACCTACTGTAGTGATCGGAGTACGATGCCTACCTACGGCTGCCCACCGAGTAGTGATCTAAACCCTAACGTGGGACAACCCTATCGACGTCGACCTGCAAGGTATCCAGCGGTCGACGTCGACATCCCAATACGGACACTCACTTGAGGCCGAATCCCAAGCAACGGGCGTTGAACTCTAGCCTATGGTCTACGAGGACGGCGTAGTCGTGTTCGTCGAGCTTGGCAGTCAGTCCACTGCCCAGGTCGAGATACAGAGGGAAGTCCTGCGAAGTCGGCGTCACTTCGCCGAGTTTCGTGGCGGCCGACATGGCGGGGAAGGGAAGCGGCTAAGGGACGTGAAATGTGGGAGAAGGCGCAGAGCTGGGGAAAAGGTGGAAAGGGAAACGAGATGCCGAAAATGAGGAGCTATGCCCCCTTCCACCAAGAAAAGGGGGTCGGTGCCCCACAGGAACGGTCGAGGCATCGCCCGGCCCTCGTGGTGCCTGCCTCGGCGGGGTTTGGCACAAGTCCTCCACAAGTGGCACAAGTCCTCGTTCGCCGCCGAGCCAGCAAGTCGATGTCACGCCCCGAAGCGAAAAACGTGCGCCGCGAAGCGATCGACATCGAATTCGCGATGTCCCGAATTGAGTTCGCAATGTATCAAATTCTGCATGTTGCCCGATGCGAAGCAGGCGGGCGAACACGTGGCGTCGCCGCAACGGGTCGCGAAATTGTCGAGCGTCCCGAGGGGGCCCCGACATTTCGCCCGGCCCTCGCCTGCCCGTCCGGGCAGGCCGCGATGGGTTACTAGGACCTCGCGGGCAGGTGGCGCGCGTGGGCTGCCTTCGCGCGAGGGTAATTTTCCCACGCGCGAGGTGTCGCCAGTTCGCCGACCCCACCCGGTAACGTGGGCCGCTGTTCACGTTCGGGGCGGGGCCGCGGGGCGGCGGTCGTGCGCTCGGGCCAGCCCTGGGCCAGGCTGGCGGGCCCGCACGCGCGTCAGTGCTCCGCCCCGTCGGCCCAGGCTTCGACGACCCCCCTCGTCGACACTGGCAACTCGGGTCCGTCGACCGAATTCCGCTGGGGTGTTCGGGAAGAAAATGGACAGGGACAAGTCTTTTCCAGTCGCGTCGGGTCGGTTCGGGGGCAGGAGATTCCAGTCCAGACGTGTCCAGTCCTTTGATTCCAGACGTGTCCAGTTTTTCTTTCTGCTGGTGAAGGGAGTCTGGGCGATTTCGGGTTCTTGCAAAAGTCCAACCCCAGTCATGGCTACAGTGATGCTGACTTACATCAAATGATTGGTTGTACTGTACTGGCAACGTGCTCGCGAGCAATCCAAACCCACAATTGCGTCGAATACGGCGCGCATGCAATCAATTTTCCAATTCCACAAACTCGTTTAAAACAGATGCAAGTCATTCGGCTGCTACATCTCGAACTGAATAAATGAGTACTACACAGATCTCTATTTGATTTCTGGCATTGTGATCTAGAATACTAGTGGGCGGACATCGTAGAACTGATTTCAGGCAGTATATCGAGGGTCAAGGGAAGAGCACGCCATGGCTGGGGCTATCGTGAGATTCGATACAAGAAATATCAGGGAAAAGCGGAAGAAATAACCGTTGGCGGCGAGGCTACTCCGCCTTCAAAGCAGGGAGTTGAGATCACCATACACCACTAGATAGCACAAGGGCAAGGGCGTGTTGTTACCCAGTGTGTTTACACGACCTGGCACAGTTGCTTGTTCCCGTGGCCCATGGATCTCTCCATCATCCACACATCAAGCAGTAGCAATTGATATAGGCTTGCCTTGCGTGTGGCTTGCATGACATTTTCTATTCTTACCCCGCCGTGTAGCACCGCCGCCGCCACAATGCATTGCCTTGCCCTCTATCCATGGTGTAATTGTGAGCCCTGAAGAGGCTTGCTTCTCTATTGGCTTCACCGTGGCGTTTTATTTCTGCCCTCTCCTGCCTGAGCCCAAAAGTGCTCTTGAGGATTCTCAAACGAGCCTTGATGCTCTGTTGGCCTCACCGTGGTGTTCTGCTCTCCAGGAGTGTTACTGTACCTATTCCTGTCCTGCCCTGACCCCGATTAAGAGTGCTACCTATTCTTGTCCTGACCCGCCCATGGCAACTGGCAGAAGGGCCAGCACTCGACCGGGGTGTCAACACTCCCACCGCACCGCACCGCTTTGCACTCCATTGTGCGGTTGCGGGCCCAGAAGAGGCTGGGGTCTTCAATAGGCTTGACTGTGGCGTTGCAGGGCGGCTCTTTGAGATCCACCTCCCGCGACGTGTAGTGGTTCAGGTGGAGAATTTCTGGTGGCGCTGTTGCCATTTCTTCTGGAGGGGAGAACGTGTTGTGGATGGATATAGAGCTGATTGGGGGGGGGGGGGAGGGGAGGGGAGGGGAGAGGAGGGAAAGGGAGGGGGAGAGAGGGGGGGGGGAGGGGAACGGGGAAAGAAGCTGCTGTCTTCGATGGGCTTGACTGTGGCGTTGCAGGGTGGCTCCTTGAGATCCATCTCCCGTGACATGTAGTGGTTCAGGTGCAGGATGGCGGGGGGTGTATGAGTGCGACTTTTGAGAATTCTCAAAAGTCGCACTAATATGTTGTCATCTCCTCTCGAGGGGAGAATGGGTTGTGGATGGATATAGAGCTGTTCAAGGTTCAAAAATACGGTAAATGTAAATTACGGCTCGTAAATTACGGTCGTAATTTACGGTGGTTTTGGCAAAAATACGGTCGTTTTTTAATGGACTTTTTTGCGGCAAATTTTTTTTTTTTTCCAGAAACTTCAAGAATGCTTACAACGATGACTAGGAAGGCAACAACAAACTACACTACAGAGAAACAAGCCTATAATGGACCGCTACACCACTACCATTGCTAAGCCTACCTAGTAGTACCTACGTTTAGGCTAGATCTGCTCCTACTCCCTCCCCACGCTACGCGAAAAAAACACACTCGCGTGGATTTGGGCGCACGAAATTTCTCACAAGCAGGGTGACGGTTGGGAAATGTCGAAATTCGCTAGACACAAACCCAGTTTCAAAATTTCGGTCGTAACTTACGACCGTATTTTTGAACCAACCTAATTTTGCAAGGTCGAACCGTTTTTTACCGTAATTTACGACCGTAAATTACGATACCGTAATTTACGGTAAATTTTCAAAAATACGGTCGTATTTTTTAACCTTGGAGCTGTTGGGAGGGGGAGGGGGGTAAGTGAGGGACAGGGAGGAAGGCAGAGATGATTATTGGTTGACTGGTGGCGCTGTTACCATCTGCTCTGCAATGTTAAATCGCTTTTGGGAACTCTCAAAAGCGATTTCGCCATCTCCTCTGCAGGGGCAAACGTGTTGTGCATGGATATGGAGCTGGTGGGGGGAGGGAGGAGGACGAAAGAAATGGGCGCAAGAGGAAGGCAGGGTGTATAGGTAAAGGCCGGAACAGAGAGCCTCTCGCGGAACTGTTTTCGAATGGGGGAAAAAAAAAAGGAACTTCAGAGGGCCGCTGGCATAAGAGCAGGGGACCACTGATGGAACTGTTGCTTTTCCCTCTACGGAGATTGAGGAAATGGCAGACAGGATTGTGGATCGAGCAGGAGTGGAACTGACTAGTGACGTGCCGTCTTGAACTGAGCCGAAAAGGCTAGCAGGACAGGACTAAGTAGTTTGTCTGGGTGGAAAAATATTTGTCACGGGCAGTGTGAGCTCTGTCAATCCAGCCGGAATCTAACACCTGAAGCACGCAAACATCATCCCATTCACATCACATCCCATTTACATGCCAATTTACTAGGGGAGGATGATCTGTGGGTTGACGGCACGGCACAGCACGGCACTCACTCGCCCGTGGTAACATGCCAACCAACAGCTGGTTTTTGAGAATTCTCCATCGCCAACCAACAGCCCACTTACTATGGAAGAATCGTCTGGGGATTAACAGCCCACTTACTATGGAAGAATCGTCTGGGGATTAACAGCCCACTTACTATGGAAGAATCGTCTGGGGATTAACAGCCCACTTACTATGGAAGAATCGTCTGGGGATTAACAGCCCACTTACTATGGAAGAATCGTCTGGGGATTAACAGCCCACTTACTATGGAAGAATCGTCTGGGGATTAACAGCCCACTTACTATGGAAGAATCGTCTGGGGAT